TGGTTCGCCGCGATTGCCGCGGCTCGCACCTCCTCTTCTTCCACGGAGGCGACGGCGCCAACGGCACCGCCGCTGCCCCTGTGCAGAGCGCTGCCGCTAGCGACAGCGGGCCGCAGCGAGAGAACTTGAGCATGTCGGATTCGTCCGCACCAAATGCGAAGAGAGTGAGGCGGAGGAGGACCACGGTGGCAGTCGCGGTCGCCGCGGGGTCTGTCCTCGCCGCGCTTCTTGTCTGCGCCATGATTGCGATGAAGAGGAGCAACAAGCGGGGGCGCCCGAGCTCCGCGTCGTACGCGAGCCCCAACCCCAAGAAGAGCGCGCCCGCGTCCGAGGTGAGCAGGGACAATGCTGACATGGGCTACGTTGAGTGCGTGCCCGATGAGGAGACGGCGGCCATTATGGTGCCGGAGGAGAAGGCGCGGCGCCTGGAGCGGAGCGGGTGCCTGACATTCTGCGCCGGCGAGGCGGCGAGCTACAGCCTCGAGCAGCTCATGCGCGCTTCGGCAGAGGTGCTCGGCCGCGGGAGCGTGGGGACGACGTACAAGGCGGTGCTCGACGGGCGGCTCGTTGTGATTGTCAAGAGGCTGGACGCCGCCAAGATTGGCCCAGCGGTACTGGAAGCAGAGGCGTTCGAGCAGAACATGGATGCCGTTGGTCGACTGCGCCATCCGAACCTTGTACCACTCCGAGCATTCTTCCAGGCTAAGGAGGAGCGGCTGCTTGTGTACGACTACCAGCCCAATGGCAGCCTCTACTCTCTCATCCATGGTAAAGTTCCGTACTCTTTGCTCTGGATCTGAGTGGTTGTAGTAGAGTAGTATCTGATCGGTGCTGGGAACAATTCTACTACCTGCCTTTACATCTAGTACTACCACTAGATTATTAGTGGTCTAGGCTGGCATTACCTTTCTAAAGTAGACATTCTTCATTCCAACATGACCACGAATTGAAATTCAGAAGACTTGGGTCACGTGAAAACCAGGCAACAGAATGTGAACGGCACTAGTGGGCCTAATATCTATATAAGGGGTGCTTTATTGGTTGATTGCTTGGTAGCTTTTCTATTGGAAGTGAGAACCCATTAAACAAAGCATACATGCATTGTTAAGTGTCCCTAGTCACATATAGCGTTCAACTGTTCATGTACACTAGACATTTATATAAATTCATAAAACGAAAACAAAGCGCCGTGCTTGTTCTTGGTGAAGTACCAGTTCAGGCTCGTGTTCTTGCAGAAGGGCAGCGCGCGCCTGAGCGCGGAGGAAGTTGGAGAGCAGCGCACGCGGGAGGAGGTTTGGTTCAGGGGCTGATCTGTTCAGGGGGCATATTTTTTAGGGGGTTCAGTGCATAATTTTCTGCCATGTGGCAAGTATGGACCTGCGGTGTATCAATCAACAAGTTTATGTACCCAGAAATGCATTTTCAAAGTCCAGGACCTCGGTGACACCCCATGACAAGTTCAAAGGCCTCCATGCATTTAACTCAAAAATAAATGTCCACAGGCTAGAATATGTCAAGATATCCATACTTTTTTAATACATTCATAGAATATTTAGGTCATAAATTGTATGAGTAGATTTTTTGTCAATTGTTCTCACCTTTTCAAACTAGATACTCTTCACCCAACATGGCTATGGAATGAAATTGAGAAGATGACAACATGAATATCTGGCAGCAAAATGTTGATGCCTAGTGAACCCATATATGTGATGCTTTATGATTTGACTGCTTGATCTTTTTCTTTGTGAACCCACTAAATAAAACATACATGCGCTCATAACTCATAAGTGATCACTGGTCCCATGTAGTGGTCATCTGACTAATGCTTTGTTTAGATTCATGAAAGGGGGAAACACAAGGTTGCATGTGACATTTTACTGACTAGTTTTCATCGCCAAGAATATAATGACGACATTGTTTATTCATTGGATGTTGGGATGATAAATCATTTAACAATATTAGAAAATAGCAGAGGTATGACTTATTTTCCGTCAGGCCATGAAAAACATCATTTGAACCTCTACAGTGGACTGGCCATTGTAATTTTATGGTTCATGATTTCTCCTTTCTACTTTCCTTTGCTTGTGAACTATAAAAAAATTGCGATCATACAAGTAAGGACTTAAACGCTGGGTTGCTGTTCTGAAGTACTATCTGAAATTTGCAACTAGGTCCACAAATAGTGTCATCTGTACTTATGGTTCTGGTTGTAGTTTCTTTGGTAACAGTGGTATGCTTATACTAATTCAGATGAATAATATTGGTGAGTGCTTAGGAACTTGTAGTAAACCAGTAGCAAGAGAAGGTTTATTCATTTCTTATGTTGATTTGGCTATGAGCATTGTTATGTAACGCAATGTCAATACGCTAAATAACACACTTGTTGCATAGTGAAGCTAAACAAAACTATTCACATGTTAGAACATATCAATATGTCAATACGCTTTTATGCATTCATAAAATATTTGTGCCATAAATTGTACGAATAGATATTTTATCAATTATGCTTAATTGTTCCGTTAATGTTTGTGAACTTGCAGGTTCAAGGTCATCCCGGGCAAAACCACTTCACTGGACATCATGCCTGAAGATAGCAGAAGATATTGCACAAGGTCTTGCTTACATTCATCAAGCATCTCAGCTTGTCCACGGGAACATCAAGTCTTCGAATGTTCTGCTTGGTTCGGACTTTGAGGCCTGCCTTACGGACAACTGCTTGTCTTTCCTCCTGGAATCATCAGAAGTCAAAGATGATGATGCTTACAGAGCACCAGAAAACATGAAGTCCAATAGAATGCTAACGCCAAAGTCAGACATATATGGTTTTGGTGTCCTCCTCCTTGAGCTCCTTAGCGGAAAGCCACCACTTCAGCACTCAGTCTTGGTCGCAAGTAATCTTCAAACCTATGTCCAGTCAGCGAGAGAGGATGAAGGAGTGGACAGTGACCGCATCACAATGATCGTCGACATAGCCGCTACTTGCGTTCGGTCCTCACCAGAAAGTCGGCCTGCCGCCTGGCAAGTACTTAAGATGATTCAAGAAGTGAAGGAAGCAGATGCAACTGGCGATAACGACAGTGATCTTACCAGCAACTCCTAGTTGCCTGTATGGGTCCATCTCAGGTGGATGGATCAAAGCAACAGCATCAATTGGATGCAGGTTCTTGCTGCATGGATGTAGACTGGATAATTCGAAGTGAAGGTGAACTCTAGGGTAGGACCGTAGGAGTACTGCAATAGTATAACGATCTCTATGTTTGGTGTGGTTTGAGCTACGGATGCTGTAACATATTATAGGATTTCTTATTGTCAGGAACTCAGCATGTTATGGTCTGGTTCTACTACCAGCAGTTCTAGCACCAGTCTGTTATGTGAAAGTTTATTACTAGGATTCATTGTATGATAGTAATCAAGACACAAAAGCTGTGTGACGAGTGAAGATCTGGTTTTAAATCCTACTACCAGCAGGTATTGTGGGATTTTCATGGAATGACGAGTTGAGGATGGAATGGTGAATAGACCATTTTTTTTCTCTACTCACAGACTAATCCAGTTCTTCAATGTGTCCAGTGGCCGAAACGCACCATCAGCCTGTTTGCAAGTGGTAGGAACGGTGACCTACAGACCTCCAGTACCATTATGTGCTGTCTTGCAGTTATTTTGAAGACTTTCAGAATCGTAGCTCATATTTTGGTATTTTTATGAGTTGTTTCCTTTTTTGCTGTTATTATGAGGAAGGAACCGGTTTTACTCCAAGCTCCGTAACAAATCTCATGTTTAAACATGTGACATGCGTAAGAAAACGTACAAGAACTATGGACTCGTACAATACAAAACGCATTCTTATAAAACTGTGGGTTACCAATTTATTATGCCTACTATAGCTGAAATTTAGCGTGACGTAAAATATGTTAATATTGGTTAATGGACAGCATGCACAGCTTTTCTCCGAAACTTGCCTCAAGGATATTTTGGCGCCAAGGCAGGTACTCCATGTGGTCGCTGGTTTTCTGTTGCAGCGTCGTCGTCGCTGGCTCGCTGCCATTGTCTTATTTTTGTTCATCCAGACAGGTCCGGTGTGACTGGCTGCTGAGTTGTTTCTGCTGGTTTTCCGTTCGATTCGTTCTCGCTGATCGCCATCGATCCTTCGAAGCTTAACGCACGTAACAATTATTGCCCGTTCGCTTAACTGAAAAAATAAGCCAAAACACTGTTCCGGCTAATTTATTAGAAGAGAAAAACACTATTCCGGCTAAAAAAACAAGCTGAAAAGTACGGATTATAAGAGAAGCGAACAGAGCCATTATGGACTTTAAAATTTATTTGATTTTAATTAAATTAAAATAAGCCAAGCCTAATTAAAATCCAACACGGAACCAATGGCATGTTTCGACACTAGACGCAAGGTTGGTGTGGAATTTCCCGGCCATTTCCGGCCGTGATAATGGTCATCGGAGGCTGGCCAGCGCAGCGTCGCGAAACGGCATAGCAGAGCTTGACTCCCGTAGTCCCGTTTACACACGAAACCTTTGTCAAGTCAGAGTATAGTAAAATAAGCTGGATTGATGTAACCCGGGTACAAGGACAGATTTGTTCTTCTACACTGTAGTTAGGTGGCAAGATGCTTCAAGGCAGACTGCTGAAAAATCAAACGAAGGTGCTAACCGTATCAACGTCTTCACATGTGGCTGGAGATTATCCTACAAGAGTTCAGTTTCGTCATATGACCAAAGGGCAGGTTCATAACATGGGCTTCCCTTTGCTAATGCAAAACACAGAGAACGAGCCTTTTGAAGCAAATTGCAATTTCACATTGGGTCACCAAACCACTTCTTCTGACCGAGTCTCTGCTCTGATTGGAGCAACACGATCCCATCCTATTAGAAAAAAGCAAGAATGCGATCGAGACCATTATATAAGCACATATTAGCTTAGTTCTTCCCCAAAGGGGACCTGCATCATACTGTAGGACAAAAAGGCAGACGCAGAAATACACAGAGATGGCTCGAGTGTTACCGTGGCTAATCGTTGCAGCCACCACCCTGCTGTTAGCATCCATCAAGAGCAACACAGCGTTGACGATGGCAAGGCCTGGCTGCAGAGAAACATGCGGCAACCTCACCATTCCCTACCCCTTCGGCATCGGTCCTGGATGCTATTACAAACAAGGGTTCGATGTTTCCTGCGAGGACAACCGCACTTTCATGCCTAATTCAAGCAGCCGAATACAGATGTACAACATCAACCTGCTAGGTGGGCAGGTTCAAGTCAGCACATTGATTGCCTCCAAGTGCAACTACACCAACGGTGAGAGCACAGATGGATGGGTCTCGGTATTTACTACTCCATTTTTCACATTATCCAGCAAGGCCAACAGGCTAACGGCCATTGGATGCAACACTGTTGCATTCTTGGGAGGCTACAATAAGCACAGGGCTCAAACCGGGTGTGTATCTCTGTGCCTGGACAAGCGGAGCGTGGACTTCAGTGGCCAGTGCTCTGGCATGGGCTGTTGCCAGACAGCCATTGCACCAAACCTTGGTTCCTTAAACATAACCTTCGATAAGGGCTTCAACAATTATGTGGTAAATGACTTTAACCCATGCAGTTATGCCTTCGTCGCGGAGCAGGATTGGTTCAGGTTTGAGGCTTCTTACCTCCAGGATAAAAAGTTAACAGACAAGTACAAGGATGGAGTTCCTTCCGTGTTTGACTGGGTTGCTGGAAATCAACCCTGTGATGAAGCGGTCAAGAACATATCATCATATGCCTGCATCAGCAGGAACAGCCAGTGTTTCAACTCACCAAATGCTACTGGGTACCTCTGTAGTTGCAGCGTTGGCTTCGAAGGGAACCCCTACCTGGCAGATGGGTGCCAAGGTCCGCAACTCTCCAGAATTCACTTCTTTACATTACACCTCAAGTTAATTGTTCACTGATCTTCAGTTATTGTGTGCTCGTGTTTGGTGTTTGTAGATATCGACGAATGCCAACATCCACTTCAGTATCCGTGCTATGGAATTTGCAGTAACACAGTTGGGGGTTACAGTTGCTCCTGCGCAGCTGGGACTCGGAGCAAAGATCCAAAGACTTCAGTCTGCAGTCCAGATGCAGCATCAGAAAGGGCTAAATTAACAAAATTGCTTATAGGTAATTACTTATACTCGAAGAATTTCAGTACAGTTATCAGAATGGCATGGATAAGTCATTCTGATGCAGCGGATATATCCAGGCATTAGTGACATGAAATCAGTTAGCCCTGATTCCCTGAATAGACTCCTAGCTAGTAATACTACTTGCTAGAAGCTTTACGCAGTTACACTCATTTGAGTTTTGACAACTTACACATGGGTTGACAGACTATTGTTAACATTCTTTCAAATTTTCAATAGTCAAGCCAACATAATACCTCTAGATATCCCTACTATAGTTGAGTACAAAAGATGGCCCAAGAGAGTATCACTTCACATAAAAAATCCACATAAGGAAGCCACTCAATAAATAACATAAAGGACTTGCTTTGGTGCTCTGATTACCTAGAAAGTAATTGCTCAAATAAATCATAGCGGTTGAATTTTAAAATTTATAAAACAATTAATAAAAAGGCAGAAAATAAAAACAATTCCTAGAAAAAGAATCCCAAAATTACGGCCGTGACACCATACTTTATTTAGGCCCTGTTTGATCCTATGATCTAAAATTTAGCCACTAAACTTTAGCTCTTAAAGTTCCAAGCAAGTGGTTTAAAGTGTTGTTAGCCAACCTCACAAAAAGACAATTATAAACATACTCTCTAAATCATCATTAGGAGAGCTATTTGAATAAAAATTAATCTCTATATCTTGTGAGCACTCTATAGAGCCAGCCCCGCTTGACATTTTGACTAGCGAGAAATCTGGAATGGATGATGACAATATTTGAAGATCTAATTAAAAATATTAAAGATTCCTATAAATTAGAAAGGATAATGAGAGACTCTTGGTGTTGCTCTTAGTTCATTAGATCATACAAGTGTCCTAAGAGATCTAAAATCTTAGTAGCCAACTAAATTTGAGACCATGAGATCAGTGGCAGACCCAGGATTTGAAACACGGGTAGTCCTAATCAAAATTTTCATATGCAATACAGTAAAGTCTAAAAGAAAGTTTGGTATACATGACTACAGATCCACAATCCCTAAGCCCAATTTAGTGAATTTATAGTCCAATCTCCATTAAAGCCCAAAATTTTAATAAGTAGTGGATGAATGGTATCTATTTTCTGTGGGTGAATTGATTAGAAAAGTCACCATCTCACATTTATTTTTGTATTATCATACATGCCCTACAACCTAACAGAGGTTGTGCACACCTAAGAGGGATATATAAACATTGTTAAGTCGCTCTAATGTTAATGATCAGTAATGTTAGAACGGAGAGATCAGTAATGTTAATGATCTTCTTGGACACTAAAAAAAGGGAAATGGATAAAGACCAACATGCTAATAGATTGAGTTTTCAAGAAATAAAGACCAACATGTTCAGAAGTTAGAAGCACAAGCACAAGCACTCATCAGGGAGCAGGGCCAGGGCAGGGCAGCGCACGGCGCACGGCGGACTGGCCAGCCGCCGGCTGACCCGTACAGCTGCTTGGCGCGCCCGGCGCCGGAGGACTGGCGGAGCGCGGCCACGCCCAAGCAGGGCCGCGGGGCGGCGAGGGTGCCGGCGTGGCGCTCGGCGAGGCCGCGATGGCGCGACCACGGCACCACGAGGGGCGTCAGGTCGGGGGTGGCGGCCGGCAGGGGTGCGGCGGGCGGGCGGCTACCGGCGGGGAGGGGCCGCGCCGCCGCGGGGAATCGGCCGGGGGCAGCGGTCTCCGGTCGCACGCGGAGTAGCGGGAGCCGAAAATGCTTGGGCGTCTCAGCATATGGGCCAAAACTATGTTGGGCTGCATAGTACTAACATTTATTGGGCCAAATTTTAGGATAGTTCTGGACCTATCTGGACTACCCACTGGCCCGCCACTGCATGAGATAAATGTTAGTACTATGCAGCCCAACATAGTTTTTTTAATCTCGTGTGTAATTTGTTTTTTTTAATAATCTCGTGTGTTAGCCCTGTCCGCGGTAATCTCATGCAGCCCAACATAGTATTAGCCCTGTCCGCGGTAATCTCGTGTGTAATTTGTTTTTTTTAATAAAGAAAACTTTTATTAAATTCTCAGAGAGTTACATCAAAGACGATACAAAGCCCGCATGAGGTCAGGTGCGCTACTAGTTACATATTTAGGTTAACCGTTGTTTTTTTTGCCTTTGATTTGATATAACTATAACGAAAACATATAAGCATGATGATACAACCATTTTCTCTACTTAAAAAATAAAAGTTGTCACAGCTTGTGGACATACATTAGGTGATACTACCTTATTTATTCATCTTACATGCATATCCTCCCTAAACCAATCAACACATGGCCCACTATTATTTGTAATGAACAAGGAAAAGATGTAAATACATACTCACCCCGTCCCACAAAGAATGTCGTTTTCACTTACCGAGAAGTCAAACATTTTTAACTCTAGCCACATATATATAAAAAATAATATTAACATTTATAATATATAATTAGTATCATTAGATAAATCGTGCAAATATATTTTCAAGATATTTTTTTTAGTGATACGAATGTTGCTAATATTTCTATAAAGCTAGTCAAACTTAAGAAAGTTTTTTGCATCCTATAACATCATTCTTTTTGGAACAGAGAGAGTACCTATGTTTTGAGTGCTGAAGGTGTTAGATGTGGGTAATACTACGGTAATCCCTTATCTATTAGAAGATAACACTTCAAATAAATCTAAGCCCTTATTTTTTTTAAAAAAATCTGCTTAATTAATTAATTAACCTGAAAAAAGAAAACAATAAGTATTCACGAATCCCCTCAACACGGAGACAGAAGCCAACGCGTGATATCCTCCCTTTTCCTCCTTGCTAATTTCATGCACGCAAAATAGATCATTTTTTTTTTCGTAATTGACAAGTTTCATGTGTGCCCAACGTGAGTTACTTGCATAAAAAATATTTTATGCTAACTAAATTATGTTGTATCTAAAGTTGCAAAAAATAAGAAGATTTATCACATCCAATAGATTATGTATACATCATCAATTAGATCTAAAAAAGATCTTTATTTATCCTAGGAACAGATGATTCTAACTATCCGATCTAATTAAATAAATGACTCATAGTTATCTAGAGTACCACAGCAAAACTCATTAGATGTTATCTGTTTCTTCTAGGAAGCAGCTGGAAATTTTCGTGCATCCAGCACTGTACTACTTTTCAGCCATTATATTTGTTTTCTGCAGGCTTAACAGTAGGCAGTGCTGGTTTTGGCCTACTGTTTTCGTTTCTCGGTGTTGCAAAAATCACCAATAAACTCAAGCAACAAAGAATCAAGAAGCTGAGACGAACGATTTTCAAGAGGAACCATGGATTGCTTCTCCAACAGTTAATCTCATCAAACAGAGACATAGCTGAGAATATGAAGATTTTCGGATTACAAGAACTAGAGCAAGCAACCAATAAATTCGACCAGAATCGCATCCTTGGCGGTGGAGGACATGGCATAGTCTTTAAGGGCATCTTAGCTGATCAACGTATTGTGGCCATCAAGAAGTCTAAAATTGCAGTTCAGAGGGAAATTGATCAATTCATAAATGAAGTTGTCATACTTTCACAAACTAATCATAGAAATGTGGTGAAGCTCTTCGGTTGTTGCCTTGAGAGCGAAGTTCCTTTACTAGTTTATGAGTTTGTATCAAATGGAACTCTGTCATATCATCTCCATGAGCAAAGTGAAAATCTTTTGTCATGGAAAGACAGACTGAGGATTGCACTGGAAACTTCCAGGGCCATTGCATATCTACATAGTGCTGCTTCCATATTAGTGTTCCATAGAGATATCAAGTCTACAAACATACTGCTGACTGATGCGTTAACAGCAAAGGTGTCAGATTTTGGAGCTTCAAGGTCAATTTCAATAGATGACACGGGAATACTTACAGGCATCCAAGGAACTCATGGTTACCTTGATCCTGAGTACTACTACACTAGTCGACTTACAGAAAAGAGTGATGTTTATAGCTTTGGTGTCATCTTAGCGGAACTTCTAACAAGGGTTAAACCGGTTTTCTCAACTCCGTCATCAGAAGTTACAAGCCTAGCTTCGCACTTTGTGTCAATGATGAGAGACAATCGCTTATGTGATATTCTAGATCCTCATATTGTTGAAGAGGGAAATACTGAAGACATCAAGGTGGTTGCAGCGCTCACAATAGCATGCTTAAGCTTAAAAGGTGAAGAAAGGCCTACCATGAGACAAGTCGAGATAACGCTTGAAGATCTGCAAGGATCAAAGGTCCTCCCCAATTCTCGGATGACAAGTCAAAATGCTATACAAGATGAGTCATATAACGGAAGTAATGGCAGCGAAGGCACTAGACTATACAGCTTGGAGAAAGAGTTCATACAATCATCTGAAATTCCAAGATGATTCTGGACTGCCAGAAATTACCACATGTTACAATCTGGAAGAATGCGAAGCGACCTTCACTAAGGAGCTTTCCCTTTGGATTCATAGGGCTAGGAACAAATCTCTTCCACCATTTGAAATAAGGATGCATAACCTTTTGTGATTTTTCTTGTTTTGCTCATCTTCTTTCTTTCCTTTTCTGTTTCTTGAATCTTGCCTGTAAGACTGTCTTCTTTTGCTCTTTTTATGGGACATCGGCACCTCCTGATTCCTGAATGGACAGCAATTGCACAGCGTTTCTCTGAAACTTGCCGCAAGGATATTTTAGTGGCTAGGCCGGTACTCCATGTGGCCGCTAGTTTTCTGTCGCAGCGTCGTCGTCGTTGCCATTGCCTTCCTTTGTCACTTTGCTCCTCGCACATGTGTATACAGTACCGGCCACCAGTTCTGGACCACAGATGGCCATGGACCCACGAGTATGTTGGACCGTTGGGCTGTAGTTGTCCGGCCGATCGAGAAAGACTAGCAGCCTGTTCGCTGCTGGCTTGTTCGTGAGGAAGTACGCCTGATTGAATTTATATGAGAGAAAAATACTATTCATATAAACAGTGTTGATGTGTGAGGGCTGACCAGCCCAGCCAGCCAGTCGCCCCCAGCCGAACGGGCCGTAGGTTAGAAACTGTGCCCCCACACAGACTTTTACTGGCCCATCTGGAGCCCATAGCAGCAAGCTGCGTTTGTGAAGCCGTTGCAGTGTCAACGAGCCCATAAAACAGGGCCCATAACCAGGGTCTCCTAATTCTGCCGTGAGCCTGTGAACTGCGAAGGCCAGGCCGGAGTTCGCCGAAAGCTTAACTTAACTGGAGCTCACATGCAGGGCTCGTGATTTCTGTTGCTCAGTATTTCAGTAAAGATTGCGAAGTAAGTGCTTGTTATCTCCTATACAACTAAAAACAACAAAACAAAGACAACGGAATGGTGCGACAGTGCCGCGACTCGAAAAGATCGGTGCTGGCAGGTGGGACCTCCTCCCCGCGACGACTCTTCTACGTGATCAACCGAATGAAAAGGAAGAAAACACCACGGAAGGAAGTAAAGCAAATCTCCCCTTGCATGCGTGCATGTCCTTCCCTCGATGACCGCCCCTCCCCGCACGATGATCCCGACGAAAAGGTAACAGAAATCGAAAAAAAATCCGGTGGAGACAGCGTGCACTCACGATGGCTCGCAGAATCGCACGACTCCCTCGTCTCCCTGCCATCATGCAGCGACGTGGGATTTTTTCACGGATACGCGGCACAAATCTAGAGGCGGTATGCACGGACATGCGGTGCATGCTTTCTCCACCGGATTTTTTGCCCAGAAATCAATGGCTCGCTCGCACGCGGACCCAGCGCGCGCGGTCTTCCCCAACCCCGGCCAAAGAAGGCAGCAGAAATCAATGACATCCGTTTCCCACAAAGAGCCCGATCGACGCGATCCCATTGTCCATCGCGCTATCTCTCTCGCCTACCCGCTGAGTCACCATCGCTCCCTCCTTCGCCCTCGCTCCTTTCTCGCTCACGCTGCCGCCTCCTATCCCCGCGCCGTCGACCTCGCCGTTCCCCGCTTGCCTCCGTCGTTCGCGCGTCGGGGAAGTGAAGGGAAGAGAGGCGACCGCAAGCCGCACTGTTGGTGAAGCCCGCCGCCGGAGGCAGGCACGAACGGAGCACGAGCGCGGGCGAGGTCCATCCGCGGCGCTAGTGCTGCCGCCATCTCCGACTCGGAGTTGAGCGCGTGAACCAGGGGCTTCCACGACCTCGCGCTCGCCTTGTAAGGTTGCGAGCCCATGCCTTCGTCCCTCGCTCCCCCGTCCTTCGATCCCGCGCTCGCCCTGGACGCCATCCGCCGCTGCGTTGTCCCGCTTCCTTTCCTCCCTTCAGGCTATCGCCCCGCCCTGCGCGTGGCCCTCTTGCGCCGCGGCGGGGTCTCGTTCCCCACGCAGCGGTGCCTCAAGGAACGCGGAGGCAAGAAGCATCGTCGGTGGGGTCGCGGCGCCCGACATGAACTGGGGACACGACGGAGGCGGGGGCGGCGCAGTGGGAAGGGAGGCCGCTGGGTTCGAGGTGTGACAGAACCCATGCCGGAGCTGCCGAAACCGGAGATGCCCGACTTCTGGGAGGGACTTCAGTGGGAGGCACTCGGCTTCTTCGTGCAGTCATGTGGGCGTTCGGCGTGCGTGCCTCCTCTCCATTACCCTGCACCACTAGCCTGGATGTTCAGAAGCAGTAGAAGCATCTTTTTTTCCCGCAATATATCACGCTAATTGGACACGTCCATCACTCCATTGTCTCTATGTGGAACTGCTTGTATATAGAAACTCTAATTAGACACCATCACCAATGCATTATAAGGTTTAGACGTTAGCGGAGCACTTTTGCCTGGAGATTAGATAATTGAGTATTGCAGTATAATAGTGTGCATTTGTCTTCAGCTTTGATGTGTAACTTCACGCACAATAGAATCCCTTTCAAGTGCCACAAAGCCATTGCTTCTTTTCATCGTATGTCCACTCTTGAGTATTTGTTGTACCGTGACTAAATAATTTCCTTTCCGGTGGCTATAGGCTGAGAAAGAATGTGTTACCGAAAACACATGAAGTTGGTTATTCCTGCACTGCTTAACAAGAACAATCAATAATCTCTTTGCTCAGTGCATTGAATGAAACAATCCCAATTTTTGTTAAGTAGCAGCAGCCATACATTCTTACTGAAGCCTGAACTTGATTGTCATGGAAACTGTCAGTGATTTCCAAATCACTGCACAAGAAATAAATCGAACGTTTTCTTCTTCATATGCTAAATTGCAGTACATCTTTTTCTACTCTTTTAGAGTATAGAAAATGGTATTCATGAGCTAGCATCTGCCTGTACAGTTTTTATTCCTTAATAATATGATTTTAACACCTTCGAAAGCAAGGATAGGAAGGGCTTAATATTCTTTTTTGTTGTGTGTTATGATTTTTTTTTTTATATCTTAACTAGAATACATATAAAATAATGGGGATGACATCTTAGAACTTCCATGTCGATGAGAAGAATGCAACTTGTCATTTATCTGTTGTCGATGAGGGAAGCAGCTGGAAATGGAGAAACGAAAAATGGATTATCTATTGGATTTATTCAGTTGAGATTCTTTTTTGGTTGTTGGCTTTTGGAGACAGTTACACTTTCTTTATACAGCTTCGTATTGATTTTGTTCAGCTTAAAACTTAGGATCATTCTAAGATCAGATCTAGCATGTGTTCATTTTTTTCAATATAGTAAACTGCTCTGCTCATATGCTGGGACTTGTGGCCGGGTGTTGAATATTTGAATCAGCTCGTCCCTCCCTGTTGTTTAGTTCAAGTGATTCTCTCCATTTGCAGTAGACTGCGTTTTCTCATTCCTTCCGTTGAGAGGAGGTACTTTCTTAATGTATTGTCACTGGAAATTATATTCTGATGAAAATACATGAGCATCTGATCTGAGCACTTGAGGCTGCAAGGATAGGAGTAACTTGTTGATCATCGCGTTGCTGTTTTGTCCTAGCAGTAAACCAATTTCTCATTTTTCAGATGCATTGCATTTGTCAGGCACCACATGAAGCCACTGAAGTGGTTTTCTCCTTTTCATGTAACTGAGATTGTGAAAACTGAAAAGTCATTGTTGAAAATTGTCTGCTGTTCTGATCTCAGAAGTCACAAGTCTGTTAAAACATGAACTTCACCTCTGCAGGATAATGTTTTAGCTGAGTCAAGGATGATGGTCCCTGACTGCCACAAAACTGCACTGGCTGATTTGAAAGCGACACTCGTACGACATGAAAAATTCCCTGACCATATCCTCAAATACTGTGCATTATTTTTCTTAATTCATGTAAAAGATTGTATCCTTGCATGCTGAACTGAAGGAGTCAAATGAGCAAGGTGTTGAGATTGAAGAAACTGGTCAGAGAGTACAGTCTCAGAGGTTGAAGCGGATATCAGTGGCATATTTTTATGCAGTTATGGCACATTTTTCTTTCTCCCTTTTTTATGCCTTGTTGATCCGTTGGCATATCTCTTGGAAACTATTATGAGGAAACTATGAATGCAGTTATATTTGAATGAAAGCAAAAGCCAAGGGCTGGAAAAAGGAATCCTATATCGGTGGATAAGATGTAATCAAGCCAACCAATTTCAACATCTTTATCTATGAAGAACAGAACAAGGCTCATACCATTGAACACACGTCTCAAAGTAGAAGCCAACGACAAAAGATTTGGGTGGCAGCGCAAAAATCACACGGACAAAATATAGTAAAACTGTTAACGAACACACATCTCAAAGTAGAAGCCAACCATATCGTAGATATGTAAGTCGTTTGCTCTTGCTTTTATTACTTGTTTCCTATATGATATTCTAATCGTTACTATGTTTACAGTTTCTTTTGCCATGGCTACACGTTAAAAAGTATATGCTTTACGTTTTCAACCAGAGAAGAAGATACTTATCATGATTGATTCTACACCTGTTAAAAAGTGGTGTAAAGACGCACCGGTGATATGTATGCCTGGCAAACTCTATTTAACTTGCAGTATGTGGCCGCAGTGATGAAAGGTCCTAATGGCTAGAGGGGGTGAATAGCCTATTAAAAATTCTACAACAACACTAAGACAAGTGATTAGTAAATAAGACGGCGAAACGAATTTTATGCTAGCACTACACTTGTGTTGCAAGCCACCTACCCAATTCTAAAGTATATGATCTCTAGTATATCACAACAAGACTAAGTCATTAATTTACACCTAGATGAGCAAGCTAGGAAGATAACTACAACTAAGAGCTACACTAACTAGTTTTAGTTGCCACAAGCTCTACACAAGTAAATGCACAATGTAATACAAGAGAGTGGTAGAGAGGTATACCGCCGTGGCAAGTGATTAATCAATGAATACCAAAAATACCAAGGAGGCAATCAAGACACAATGATTTTTTCTCCGAGGTTCACTTATTTGCCGACAAGCTAGTCCCCGTTGTGACGATTCACTCACTTGGAGGTTCACGCGCTAATCGGCATCACACGCCAAACCCGCAACCGGGTGCTGCACAACCAACACAAGATGAGGATCACACAAGCCACGAGCAATCCACTAGAGTGCTTTTTGGCTCTCCGCCGGGGAAAGGTGAAGAACCCCTCACAATCACCACGATCGAAGCCGGAGACAAGCATCTTCCTCCGCTCTACGATCCTCGCTGCTCCAAGTCATCTAGGTGGCGGCAACCACCAAGAGTAACAAGCTAATCCCACAGCAAAACACGGACACCAAATGCCTCTAGATGCAATCACTCAAGCAATACACTTGGATTCACTCCTAATCTCACAAAGATGATGAATCAATGGTGGAGATTAGTGGGAAGGCTTTGGCTAAGCTTACAAGGTTGCTTTGTCAATGCAAATAGCCAAGGGGGTGAACTTGAGCCGGCCATGGGGCTTAAATAGAAGCCTCCACGAAATAGAGCCGTTACCCTCTTTTTGCAACTTTCTGCGCGTTGACCAGACGCGCTGGTGGGGCGATCGGACGCACCCGAGCCAGCGTCCGGTCCCTGAATGGCCGCCACGTGGCCTCTTGGTTCAACCGCGATCGCCCGATCTCAACGGTCAAGTGGGAACTGGATTCAGCGAACAATGACCGAACGTGGCCGCCCATCGTCCGCTCGCACACGCCTCTGCTCGGCCACCACCGTGACCGAACTCACCGTTGCGCCACCTGACTCGCTACCCACTCAGAGTCCGGTCGACTCCAGAGATGGTCCAGAGAGGCAAAACCGTGACCTGACGTGTCCGGTCCAACGTGACCTGACGCACTCAGCATCCAGTCCTCTCTGGTCCGTTTCACCTTGTTGCGTCAGTGTTCGTCAGATTGGATCGGACTCGCCACCGTTGCGTCAGGTCACATTTTGACCCAACGTTCGATCACTCCACCAATAGAGCCCAAGCGCGCCTTCTTCATTTACAATTGACTGGACGCTACCCGGTCACTAAATTACAGTGAAAATCATCTCTTTCACTTCACCAACTTCTCCACCCTTGCTCAAATATGCCAACCACAAAGTGTTTCACCTTGTGCACGTGTGTTAGCATATTTTCTCAACATTTTTAAGAGTGTTAGCACTCACTAGAATCTAAATGCATATGCAATGAGTTAGAGCATCTAGTGGTACTTTGACAACCGTATTTCGATATGAGTTTCACCCCTCTTAATAGTACGGCTATCGATCCTAAATGTGATCACACTCGCTAAGTGTCTCGATCACTAAACCAAAAAACTACTATCAGGTTTTACCTTTGCCTTGAGTTTTTTGTTTTTTTTCTTTCTTATTTTCTAAGTCCAAGCACTTGATCATCACCATGGTCACACCATCATCATAATCTTTACCATTGCTCCACCACTTGAAATAGTGCTACCTATCTCATGACCACTTAGATAAACTAGGTAAGCACTTAGGGTTTCATCAATTCATCAAAACCAAACTAGAGCTTTTAAATGAATGTACATATTTCTGGAGGATATCTTGAAATGAAAATTCATCCGTGAAAAAAATTGCATATGACATAGATGGGTAACTAATTCAGAATTATCGTCGCTTGCAATAATAATACATATGATTTAACTATTTCTATATATTGCTGATGATGAATCTTGCCACAGACACTCAAGTGGATACCTTATTTTACAGTATATATTTACGTAGAATAGACTTAAAGCTATACATATTTATGCGGTGAGTATGACATACTTTGTTTTAAGGTTCTGTGAGAGATTTTTCAAGACACGCTGTATTATCCATGTGACAGGCACTAATATTTACATATATACTCGAACTTGTGCGTAGGATGGTATGGAGATATGGCAGAACTTATTCGTGGATTTATTGACGCACGAAAGAAATGGGTATCGAAGAGCTCTTCCTCCCGATATAAAACATTATCTTAGCCGCATCACGAAAATATCTATACAATAGAGTTTTTATGAGCATGCGACACCGCACTCTCTGGGACTGTGTTAATTTCACGAACTTTATTTTTTGATAAAATGTCACTTTAACATCGATATTTAATTTTACAGTATTATTATCTTATCGTGCGATCCATATGTTTTTAGTTTAAATATTTAGCTGTTCCATAACAACCTACGGATACGAACATAGTACAACTTAAATATCGAAAACAGAGGAACGTGAGGGAGTAAGTAAAACCCTACAGGACTTTAAAACAATAGAATTGAAAGAAGTATATTGTTTGGGTCAAAGGAAAATCGGTGCTCGAAGCAGTAATCGGAGCAATTGTGAGTTACTGGAAGCAGCACTGGAGAGCAATCATCGTTCATTAGCTTGTTTAATTCATCTCCCTAAAATTTACTCCCTATTCTATCGAATGTTTGGACATATGTATAAAATATTAAATATAGACTAAAAAAAGTAACTAATTGCACAGTTTGTGAATAATTTGCGAGACAAATTTGTTAAGCCTAATTAGTCCATGATTTAATAATGTGGTGCTACAGTAACACATGCGTTAATGATAGATTAATTAGACTTAATAAATTCGTCTCATGGATTACTAATGTATTATGTAATTTGTTTTTTTATTAGTATTCGAACACCTCATGCGACACCCGATGTGACACCCCAAAACTTAACATTCTGGACTCAAACAAGACTTGTTTAGTTCTTTTTCTAAAGTTTAATCCATGTCCTATCGAATGTTTGAACATATGTATAGAGTATTAAATATAAACTAAAAAATAATTAATTGCATAGTTTGCGACTAATTTGCGAGATGAATCTTTTAAGTCTAATTAGTCCATTATTTGACAAAGTGGTGGTACAGTAACACATATGCTAATAACAAATTAATTATGCTTAATAAATTCATCTCTCGGATTACCGACAAATTCTGTTATTTGTTTTTCTATTAGTATTCGAACATTGATACCTGACGCCCTAAAACTTTAGGCACAGGATTTAAAGGGTGTTTCTACGTTACACCTTGCTCGTAAAACGATATAAATTTTCAACCTGATTTTTTAAAACTTTAGGCACCACGATTTAAAGGGTCCCGAACAGGAATGTTCTCTTCGGCTGGACCCGATGAGAGCAACAGTGAGAAAGCTCGTGAGGAGCGACTGAGAGCAACAATGAGAAAGCTCTGCGATTAAGAGCAGAGGCGGAGCCGGAGGATCTTTTTTGGAAATATTGACGGGGCCGAAGATTCTTCCCTTCGCTTTCACTGTATGCATTTTTTTCGTGTGAAAAAAAATGATGGAGACTTTTCAATCAGAGGAGTAGAAACGTCACAGCCTTTCACCCAAACAGCTACTTGGACACCCTCCAATTGAACAATGCTGCCACATTTTAAAGCTTTCCATACACTTCAATCCCAACAGGGCCCAGAAAAGTTGTGCCGTCCCGGAATCTCATGAACTGTGCCTTTGAAACTTCAAAGTGAAATTCTTTATCTAGTTGCACTTGGACACCCTCCAATTGAACACTGCTGCCACATTTGTTGGATTGACCTCCATCCAAAATACAAAAAGTCCAAGCTATACGTACGAAAGCTCCAAAAACTTGGCTTTCAATTATGGAACCATGCAGGCGCAACTGGCCCGGTCATTACACAAACTTCCTACTAATAAAATAAAAGGACGTTTTCGCAAGCAAAAGAAGCATGTAGGTCCCACCACCAGGCACAGTAGTCCCCACCCGTGTCCACGGACGCAACGCAGGCCGTGACCGCACTGCATCTCGGCGCTCGCAACTGGGGAAGGCCGCACCCGCCAGCCGCGCAACCCAACCTCCTCGTCCTTCCCGTCCCGGGCGCCACCGGCAAGTAAGTGACAGCACCGTCCGAGCGTCGCCGTCCTTTACTTTACTTAACCAGCGAGCTGACCAGCTGAGGAGGAGCAGGACGGCGCCCCACCCCCACAGAATCTCTCTCTCGTCCACCACCACCACCACCAGCTGAGCTCATCGCGTCGGAGAAGAAGAACCTTCGTCTCGTCGCTAGCTGCCGCGAGGAGACAAGCGAGCGAGACAGGTGCGCGTGCGTGCGCCGGCGAGGATTCGATTGGATTGGAACCGTACGTCGACCGTCGGTCCAGTCGTCGTCGATGGGGATCCACCTGGTGGCGTTCGTGGCGGCGAGGGGCTTCCTGCAGGTGTTCCAGGTGTCGGCGCCGCTGCTGTGGCCGCTCAACCTCTGGCTGCCGCTGGCGCGCCACCTGCCCGAGGCCTGCGCCGCCTTCTACGACGCCCTCGTCTCGCACGCCGCCCGCCTGCGCGCCACCGTCCGCCGCCACCGACGCGACGGCGGCAGCCGGTCCGTCCTCGACGAGTACCTCCGCAACGCCACGATGCTAACCCTCTCGGACTGAGAGACTGCTGAGCCGAGCGGCCGGAGCCAAGCGACGGCCAGTATTGGGGACGGGCGTGCACAGGCCGCCGCCGCTCCAAGGCTGGCGCGCGCGTGTGGTAAATTTGTAATGCTCATCTGTAACTGAAGAACAAACCCATTTTAATCGGCATCGAGCTTACTGTTATGTTAGTTTGTTCTCTGTCTTGCAACGACGCAACGGAATGCCGATATTTTGTGGAGAAATGAACAAAGTTCACATAAATACTAAACGCCATGAATGCCGTACCCGCTCAATTAAGGAGAAAACAACAAATTAAGATCAAGGATCATAGCTGCGCAGGCGTTGGGACGTTTTATTCGTCGTCAACACAAATCGCATGCGTCGAATGACAGTCAGACTGTCCATTGTCTTGTACGAGTACGAGTACCACCTTCACCTAAAAAAACCTATATAATTTTTAATCAAATCTTTTTAAGTTTGACTAAAACAATATTAACATACTGAGTGGAACATATTTTCATCATATATAAAATTATAAATGTGGATATTATTTTTATAAATCGAATTGAGGATAAGATAATTTGATTTGGACTAGATTTAGAATTAGTACATTTTTTTGGGGGGGGGACGACGTAGGTAGCCGCTGGATGTCAGACTCGCTATTTGTTGGCCGCATCTATTCCTAGTTTTGCCGTACCAATTGCGCCTGGTTTTGATCAGGATGCGCCTGGTTTTTTACTCTCTTTCCATTTTGATATAGGATGCAAATCAAATGATTACATAATAATTATCAAATACAAACGAAAACGCCGGCGAGACCCTCTACCAGAACGCCGGCGAGACCCTCTACGAGAAGACAAGCTTCGTTCGAACCATGGACTGGGGCACTGAGGATGAGGAGCAGAGACTACACTGACACTGCAATCCTAAACCTGCAAATCCAAGGCACGCACTCGACAGATAAATCTCATAACTTCATGAACCACCATACTCAATCATTCCATCAATTAAATTACAAATCGTCGAATGGCACACTCAAACTCTAGAGCTGATCTATGCTGCAACTACTTCGTTCACCATTCGAATGGATGACTATGGATCCGATCAAGCGCCTCTCGCTAGCTGCAAAACCCCAGGCACGTGGAAGATCTGGTGGCTGTGCCCGATGACGTCGAACCCCCCGGGCCGCCACTTCTCCGGCACGCGGCTGACGTAGAACCAGGCTCCCGTGGCGTAGGCGAGGCCCATGGCGACCTCGAGGCCGAGCGCCAGGTAGCAGGCGGCGTGGCCCCAGTTGAGCCACAGCGCGTGCAGCGCCGGGACGACGCCCGATAGGCCCATGGCCAGGAACAGCGCCGCGTGGAGGCGGCGGTAGCGCGGGGACGAGCAGGACGGGGAGAGCAGCGCGGCCACCACCAGCGCGCCCAACGCCGTGATCGCGGACAGGTAGGCCACCCACGCCGGCGGGTGGCAGAGGAAGGCGTAGTACACCGGCGGCACGAAGGAGGCCACGATCATCACGGATACGCGGCAGCGACGCGCCGTGCCCGTGCGTGCTGGACACGGCCGACGCGGCCACCTGTAGCGGGCGGTGTCGAGGACACCTACGGCGAGGACCGCGACACCAACGAGCAGCTCATCGCGCCCTGGACGCGCTCGCCGCCGCCTCCGCGCAGGCCCTCGCGCCGCGGACATGCCTCGACGCCGACCCGCTCCCTCTCCCTACTCTCTCCGACGACGCCCGCACCCGCGCGCGGGCCTGGGCACGGGGCCGGAGCCGGATCCTCGCCGTGGTGCGCGAGCGCGGGCCTTGGAGCGCACGCATGCCGGGGAGCGCCGGCGGCGGGGGAGGGGGGGCTCCCGTGTGCAGGTGGTGGAGAGGCCATGGTGGGGTGGGGCGCGGCCGAGGAAGGGGCGCACGCGACCTTGGCCGAACGGGATCGAGCGGGGGAAGAAGATGGCCGGTGTCCTCGGTGGATGCCCGCTCCGGGGGAGCACGCCGTTTGGAGCTCCTCCCAGGCCAGGGACGCACGCGGCCATGGTGAGAATGCGGGTAGCGGCCGGGGGGAGGGGCGCGCGGGGCCGGGGGTGGCGGGGCCTGCCGGAGTTCGCGTGGCGGTCGGTGAGGGCGCGGGCGCAAGCATGGCCCCGCCCGGCGTCGTGGGTGGGATGGTGAGGCCGGCATCGGGAAGAGAACATAAACAGGAAGGACCGGGTGACTGACAAATAGACCCTATTATAGGACAAATTGGTTATTTCATCTATCTATTTGACAATGTTTGAGGCAAAATCAGATGGAAGGAGGTAGAAAGAAGAAAGTCTAGCGTCGTAGCATCGAGACGTGTTCGAACTCTTCAATGACCTGGTCTGGATCATCTTTTATAATAACATACATGTAAAATGCTCTTTAGTGGACTCTATTGTAAGCCAGCACGTCACCGTCCCTTTCATCGGAGCCCAACAACATTTCCAGCGCGGTGAGCATGTCGTGTAGGAGTAGGTCTGTGGCGGCACTGAAGGTGACGGCGCGGCGAATGGCGTGTTGACAACGGGGCATTGTGCTACGGCGCCACACGAATGGCGTATTGACTAAGGCTGGGCAAAAATAACTGAGAACCGATAACCGAACCGAAAGAACCGAAACCAAAACCGAATTAACTGATCAAATTTTGGTTTCTAGGCTCGGTTAACCGAAATAACCGAAGGAACCGAAATTCACAAACAAGCCCAATAAACCTTACAACCTAGGCCTAATAACCACTTGACCCTAGATATAAAAGGTGGATGACACCCCCTCACAGCCTCACACCCTCACATTTTTAAAAATCTCGGCATTGTGCTTTTTTAAAATTTTTTTCCTATTTTTCTATTCTTTTATTTGCTGCTGGTGTAAATCCTCGGTTAGTTCGGTCGGAACCGGAACCGAACCAAACTAACCGAAACCGATTTTGCTCGGTTCCAAGATTTACGAAGACCAATCGATTCCTATTTATAGAGAACCGAATTTGTATCATAAACTGAAGAACCGAATCGAAACCGATCGGTTAACCGAACGCCCAGGCCTACTTCACAACGGGGCAGTGCGCGCCTGCAAGGATTGCCTGCCGGCTCGCAGGTCGCAGCCCTGCAGGGGCAATACCGCCATATCATCACTGTACTTTCGGCAGGTGGCAACAAATGAAAAATCGGCATTCGCATGTTTCTGTTCCCTTTTTTTTTCGTACTTTGCTGTACTACGCTTCATTTTTTTCTTAATAAAAGGGAAGAAAGTACGGTTCAGTTGTATGTTGGGGTACTTCAACGATTCCGACCGACGCACCTAAGTTATCAGATCCGTTCGTTTCGACTTATACCTAAGTTATCAGATCCGTTCGTTTCGACTTATTTGCTCATATCTAACTTATAATTCATGGCTTAAATATCCGAAGATTTTTCCATGTCTTATCGTTAATTTCGACTTATTTATAAGCGGTGGCTCGATGGAAATAACTCCTAGAATTGGGGCACACAGGCCCTAGGCATATATGGCACGCAGGCCGCTTGACTCCAGGTCGGACAACCAAACGACTAGAAGCAACGTTACTTGGCTAATCTAATTAAAGGAAGTACAATTAAATATTTCGGCCAAAAATGCTAATGGCAGATCTGCTTGCTTTCATGTATCCAGCACGTTTCCAAATAATCACGATTCTCTCATGTACTATCGTCCATGCTGCTAAGTAATTGAACCAGCATCGACATACACAATATTGGAGCCAATATATATATATATATATATATATATATATATATATATATATATACTGTTCTATGTGATTTACTATAACGTTATGGTAAATATCCTCATGTGTTATATATATATATATATATATATATATATATATATATATATATATATATATATATATATATATATATATATATATATATATTATAGTAACACAACTATCGTGATTTACTATAACATTATGGTAAATATCCTCATGTGTTATAGTAATACAACTATCGTAAATATGTATTCACTTTATAAATAAATTAGTATATAAAATTATCAGAATGGAGGTGGCTATATATATATATATATATATATATATATATATATATATATATATATATATATATATATATATATATATATATATATATATATATATATATATATATATATACTGCAAATTGGCTATAAAATAACTTATTCTGTGGCCACTTTGAGTTACGATAATTACTATACTAATTCATCAGATTATAGTAACTCCTTACTTGTGATTTAGGAAAAAGTCTAGATCACCCCCTCACCTATAACAAGAAGTCTAGTTACCACCCTCAACTATAAAATCATCTATTTAACACACTAAAGTTTAACAAACCAGCTAACATACCCCCTGTGGTGGTTTTACAGGCTGTTTTGGGTTACGTGGACAGCCAGCGTGGCTCACTGGACACGATGGCCCTTGGGCCTCGCCAAATCGCTTCTCGTCCGTCGCCGAACTCGTGCACCTCCGCCCCTCGCTGAACTCCGCCTCGCGGCGCCTCGGGTGCAGACGGCTCGGCCTCTCAGTGTCGCCGCCCGCGCGACGAAGGCTGCATGAGTGCCCTCTCTCGCTTTCGGACACCGTGGCGCTGAATCGCATGTGGCTTGCCCATATTGCGCCAAGCGACGCCGCCTCCTATGCCCCTTTCGGTTGCTGCGCGCCTGGCCCGTCAAGTCGCCGCCTGCCCATGGGCCGGCTGAGGAAGCAGTAGCGTGCCCCTCTCCGCCCATCTCGGCCGCCGCCACGGGGTGGCCTGCGTCACCGGAGCCTTCGGAGTTCTCTGCGCCCCATGGCGGAATCTCTGTCACCAGAGCCTTTGAGTCCTCTGCTGAAGGGCCTCTTGCCTATGAGCCGTGAGGATGGGATCAATGAGGATGCAAAGGGGTTGGATGTCGGAGCTGGTGAGTGAAGCTACTCAATGAGAGAAGGTGCAGAATCGAAGGCAAAGAATGTAGAACTACAATAGTTGGCTTGTTGAATGCGGTGAACTTGAAGAGTCGATTCTTTGTGTTTGTAGTTGGCCTCTGTTTGGCGTTCCATGTATCTAAGTTAGTTTGATGGTAGTTTGTTTGCACTAGACAATGGAGTAGCTATGTGCAATCCAGATCGAGTTATCTGGACATCTTTTGTAAAGTATGAATGTTTGATGAACTTAACAATGTCCCTCGCTATTTGTCATTTGCAATCTGAATGTATTTGTCCAAATCCACAAAAATTGTTCAATATATGTGTGGAATCCAGAGACAATCGCTCATATATTACATAGATTTGATTTCAAACTATCCAATCACAAATGAACATCATGGGAATTGAGGCTACCATGATTTATATTACACATGTGTCCAAACTGTTGCAAACATGGTATATATTACATGATTTGAAGCTAGCATTACATCACTAGGTAATTGGGTGAGTTACACACAAGATCACCTAAAGTTCCATGATCATGTGAGCCCCAACACCAGGAAGCATGTGAACCCAAAAGTAGAGACACAAAAGACATGCTACCATTTGCAACTCAAGAGTTGTCCCATGGTCATGTGAGGCTTATATAACTAAGGCCTATTTGCAACTCAAGAGTTGTCCCATGGTCATGTGAGGCTTATATAACATTTGTAAGTATGTACATCCAAAAGAACCAACAAAAAAGACAGTGACTATGGCTTTCATCAAGATCTTAGTAGTTGTCACCAAACATGAGATGAGCAAGTCGACAACAGTGTGGACCTCTCGCCTTGGCTATCGTGGTTGTTAGGATCGAGTGGGTTGTGTAGCCACTCTTGGTGCCCGATCGTGACTCGCCTGACTATGACTGGGTTGTGTAGCCACTCTTGGTGCCTCGATCGTGACTTGCCCGATCTGTGATCGGGTTGTGTAGCCACTCTTGGTGCCTCGATCGTGACTCGCCTCGACCATGAGTTGGCGCACTATGAGTTACCTGATGTCCACTTGTTCCGACATCAGCCTACATGTGAATGTTTATAAGTTGATTATCGAGAACATTTTACTTGACGAATGTATAACACAAGTGAATAAGAAAAAAATGTTACCCTTTCAGTTGTTGTTGTCCTCTTCGCTCTTGTACTTCTGTTACCAGCTTGATCATTTGCTACAACACTAGTTGATGCTGACTCTGTATCCTTCCTCTTCCTAGTTTTAGTTCTCTTGATGTGGGCATTTACCTTGTTACCAGCTTCAGGATTTTTGGGGCACCTTCTTGCATTGTGATATGTTTTTTTGCACAGTCTGTAGCTCATCTTGATGCCAACTCTGGTTAGCTTTGTTCCCTTAGGTTGCTCTCCTTCCTCCCTTCTTCTTTGGGTCTTGGGCCTTCCAGGCATCTTCACAAAAGCTGGGGGATGTGGTCTTGGCATGTCAGAGATTGGCCAATTTGCAGGACCTTCAACAGGTTGTAAAACATGCTGATAAGTCTTCAAGTACTCGACTATGGTAAAACATGGTGCAATGTAATCCTCCAACTCTTTT